AGTCTGTTGAGTGTGTACTATCACTCTACCTCTTCATCTTTTTGTCTCTCAATGCAGGTTGAGGGAGACATCAAGGCCCTCGGCGAGAAGATTAATAAACTGTGCGGGATCAAGGTAATGCTTGTTGACTTACTGACGTCCCAGTATCAAGGAGTCCCTCTTAGGAGTCTGACACTGGCTTAGCCCCACCAAGTGTATGGGATCTAGCTGATGACAAAGTGAAGCAAGAGGTAGTCGTCATGCTCCTCGATCTAGAGCGGTTGCACATTTGGTGATATTCTCAGCAACAACAGCCACTGCAAGTCTCACAGTGTACTAAAATCCTTAATCCTGGTACGGATGATGCGAAGTATGTTATCAACGTGCGACAGGTGAGCCTTGAGTAGGAGAAGGCATACACATTCAGTGAATCTGACTTTCAGATCGCGAAATTTGTTGTTGGTCTCGCACAGCATGTGTCTCCTACTGATATTGAGGAAGGTATGAGAGTCGGAGTGGATCGGCAGAAGTATGAATCGAGTGTAGAGGCATGGGTGACACTGGCCTATCATTGGATAGATACCAAATTCAAATACCCTTGCCGCCTAAGATCGATCCAACTGTGACCATGATGACCGTTGAGGAGAAGCCGGACGTCACGTACTAGTATTTCAATCATCATGTGCATGAGGAGACGCTTAGATACTCTGATATTGGTGGCTGCAAAGAGCAATTGGAAAAGTTACGGTATGGAAATCGCTATGAGAAGCGATAATTGCTTAGGACGTGTTGTTGTCAGAGAAGTCGTAGAGATGCCTCTGCTGCAACCTGAGCGCTTCGTCCAGCTTGGTATTGACCCTCCCAAGGGCGTCTTATTGTAGGAACCTGATAGCAGCTAGGTTATGTAGTGATGATGGTATCAGATATGGACCCCCGGGTACTGGCAAGACACTGACGGCTAGGGCTGTTGCTAATCGAACCGATGCGTGCTTTATTTGTGTTATCGGTAGTGAGTTGGTTCAGAAGGTAATAGCCATCATGGGAGAGTAGACTGTAATGCCCTCATATCCTTAGTATGTGGGAGAGGGAGCCAGGATGGTCCGTGAGCTGTTTACTCTGGCTCGAAGCAAGAAGGCGTGCATACTGTTCATTGATGAGGTCATATTCATGGGAGGTCACTGCCATCTACTACTATTGCTGCCAACGCTCTCGCCTCGGAGTCGACTTTTTAGGTGGACGCTATCGGGGGTTCGCGTGGTAGCGGTGGTAGTGGGTCTGAGGATGATGAAGTGCAGAGGACCATGCTCGAGATCGTCAATCAGCTTGATGGCTTCGACGCTCGAGGCAACGTGAAGGTACCGGCAGCAGCAGCACGAGCATGTGGAGTGTCAGTAGCCTATCTCGGCGTTCAGGTTCTGATGGCCACGAACAGGCCCGACACGTTGGATCCAGCTCTCCTCCGTCCTGGTAGTAGGGGGTGTTATTGGTGGAGTTGGTCACCTGTGGGTTGGATAGTCTTGATTATCGAATGGTGTGGTATTGTAATTGTCATCACTCTGGTGTTCCTCAGGACGACTTGATCGTAAAATTGAGTTTGCCTTGCCGGATTTGGACGGTCGCACGCACATCTTCAAGATCCAGGCCAGGAGTATGAACATGGACCGGTAATGAGATTTATACTGGAGGAGATAGATGACCGTTTTCACTGGGCGTTTCACTCAGAGACATCCGTTTTGAGCTCCTCGCCAGACTGTGTCCGAACTGCACTGGAGCTGATATCAGGAGTGTGTGTAAGTTTATATTGAGTTAGGAAGTGTAAGAAATGTGGTATAAAATGTGTGGGGTAGGCACAGAGGCGGGGATGTTTGCCAT